TTGGCGGTGTGATGGTTTGGTAGTGTATGTCGTCCAAAGGAGTTGGAAATTTTCACATTATTGATAAAGTCATGGATAAGTATGTTTATCTGGATATTCTGAAGAAAAATCTACGAGACAGTGCCCGAAATTTAAACCTTTCTAACACCTTTATTTTCCAACAAGACAACGACCCGAAACATACGGCTAAAATTGTGAAGGAATATCTCCTCTATCACACTCCAAGACAGTTGCGTACTTCTCCACAGTCACCAGACCTCAATCCAATCGAACATTTGTGGGCAAAATTGGAGAAACGAATTCGAAAACACAATATTACGTCACGAAATGAGCTAATTAGTCAATTGCAGGAAGAATGGGCGAAATTTACGTCGCATGACACTGAAAAACTAGTTCCAGTCAATGCCCAGACGTCTGCAAGCTATTTGAAGAATAAAAGAATATCCTACAAAGTATTGAAGTAATGTAAAAAACTTATATTTTGCTTTTTTAAAAAGTGTACGCAGACTTATTGGGAGGGAATTTCTGAGTTTCTTTTGACAAAATATATTTTTGAAAAATGTAAAAAGTATTACACTGATATTATTTACTTTTTATTTAAGCTTACAATTTTAGCTAATAGAAGAAAAAAAATGCAATGATTAAAATACATTTTCTATGCTTTAAGTGTTTTTTTAATTTAAAATTTAGTCTGTACGCAGACTTTTGTGACTAACTGTATATTATTCGCTGCAGACACATATTTTTGATCTAACAATTTCATGACTTACAGACTATCCAAAAGAATTTTTAATGAATAAATAAATTAAAAGAAATGAAATCATCATCTTAAGAATTAAGAATATTCTACTTTTTATTTGCTTGACATTTTTAACTAACAGTACCGTTTTCAAATACCGAAGCTGAAGCGACTCCTTTTAAATGTCAATACCCTCTCTCTCTGTAAATGATCTTTTTTACTGATCCTAATTGCTTGCAGGTTAACTTAAGTGGCTCTCTAATTCAACTACATGAAGTTCTGAACAGAAATTCTTTCACTTATCTTTACCGAACACACATTTATTTAACCTTAAGTACTTGGGCCGTCAGTACTCTTTGAGTGGTTCTTGCGTCCATTCGTCTAAGTGCTCCATTCGCTTTTACAGAATGAAAAAGCAAAACCTTTTTACGGCATCTTATCCTAAATGAAGCTAGTTAGAAATTAGAAGCTGTCGTTTTAATTGGGTTCAGTCTGAAACAAAGCGCCGAAAGTTAGATTGATCTTCTGCTTCACGTTATTTTTTAATTGAAAAAAATGTCTTTTAAAAAACTTTTAGAAGCATTTTCATATTGAAATAGGAACGATAAATGAAGTGATAAACGAATTACTATGCTAATGATGTTAGTAATATTTAATCAACCCACGATAGTTACCCATATCGAATCACATTTTGTGAAGATGAGGGATCTTCACAACGGAAAGTGATAGTGTACCTTCTGCACCACACCATCCTATTTTGGACAATTGCGCATAAGGGAGATGTATCTAACATTCTCGTACTGATGTTATTTTATCACCAGCTTTCAAAAAAATGCTTTTGAATTGGTAGATTTTCGGTCTGTACTGTATTCAGACATCAAATAGGCCATGTTTTATCTGGAAGCGTATGTTCATTTTCCTAATATAGAAGTATAATAGCAAATAGATTTGGCGATTGATGCGATCTAGTCAGAATTTTAAAGGACAAAATTATGAGAGCATGGATACTAGCTATGTTTGGAAAGGCTGCTGTAATTTTGAAATAAATTTTATATGCACCTTTCTTTCAAATGTCACTACAGAATGGGAATTTCTTCTTAATTTTGAATTTAGAAAAGTTTTCTTTGAGAAACGTGCATGAATTATTATTATTTATTGCGCTTTAAACATATACGGATTTATTCAGGTTCACCATGGTTTCTTGCTTATTTCTCTTTGTTAACGCCATCAATGAGCCCAAAACAGACTATCACCATTCAGTACTGTCTGAAAACTGTAAACATGGCATTTACCATTTTAAGATGAAAGTTTCCAAACTTCTACTGTTAAAAATATACACAAGTTTCTAAACTGAAGCTTTTTCTAATTTGTACATAACATGCATGCATAGTTTATCCTGAAATAAGGCCACCGAGCACCGATACTTCGACGCGATTTCGAATCCCGTGAACGTTCATGGGAGTTATCGAGGTTTTTGCTATTATTCAAGGTAAATACCAGCTAGTTATCCTCAAAATGGTTTCTTCCGTTAGGCATATAGACCCCGGGAGCTTTATTAAAATCAATTAACAACATTTATCATAATCGTAACCTTTCACTGCCGCTCTTTTCGTTGAAAACCGCCTCAACGCTAGTCTTCTTTTGTATAAACCGCGAGAAGAGAATGAGTGATTTGATTGACTGAATAAGCACACGGGCAGAGTGATGAATGATTAAGTACAAGAAGCGATAAATGCTTGAATTTTTTGAACTATAGCATTAATTTTCTGATAACTCCTACTTTAAGTGATACCTAAATTTTACGCTGTTTGGCTTAATGTGTTCATTACTAACTGTATATTTCAAGATAATTTGACTGCCATTTACAAGTTAAGCACAGTTCAAGCATTAAAAGTTAAAAGTATAGTCAACTTCCGACTAAACGGCGGCAGATTAACGGGGTTACGAGTTGAATGGTCCTTGTCTAAAAACGCAGATTAATTTGTTGATTGCGAAATGGTAGAAAAATTACAGTTACAAATCTTTAGAATAAAAGAAAATTGCGACGATCTATGTTGCAATGTGTACAGTACTAAAGAATGTCAAAATTATGGCTTCTTTGAAGGACGCTCAATGAAAACTATCTTCAAGGTTTGGTTTGGTTTGGTTTATGTGATTATGACAAAGCATCCGAGGGCTATCTGCTTAAGACATGCCTTCGTGGAGGCCTTTCTAAGGAAACCTAGCTTGTATCTATGTTATACATTAAGAAACAAAAACGCTCATACACCCAAACCGTTCGCCGGGGTTCGAGCCCGGACTTAATTACCAAGTTACCAGGAACGACTTTAGCACTCGACTTTAACTCGGCTGCAGGTGGGCCACTCTCATCAAGTTGTTCTTTCAATTAGTGAAAGAACAAAAATAATGCATGAGCATTCAGATTCGAGACTTATCGACTGAGAACATTCTGACTATATGATCTGGGTGCTATGTTTGTGTCTATGAAATATTATATAGACACTCTTTTGGGCTGATATTTAGCATGATAGCGAGGTCCGATTTAATGTAGGGGCAGTGTTAAAGACTTAAGAGACAGTATTAAGGCAATAAGTTACATAAATTCGTTTGTGTAGTCTGATTCTCAGAGGATTATCTCTTAACATTTATGCGGTTCAAAAAAAAATTTTTTTTAATTTTTGGAAAACCCGAATCTTATCATGTAAGTGATCTTCACCTCCTCCTTGTATGTAGAAATTATGTAAAACTAAGTATTAATTTGTAAATACTTGGTACTGTTCTGTTATCAGGACCGGATGCAGAAATGTATGTATGCATGCAGTATAGCATATGGATATGCACGTTCATGTATGCATGTATAGCACGAATGAATATGTTACCGTGAAATGTGTATATGAATATGTTACCGTGAAATGCACGAATGAATATGTGTATATATGTTACCGTGAAAGACCGAAATTGGAGAATGTCGACTTTCACCCGAGAATGTCAACATTCACCAAATACGTCGGTGAAAGATCGAATATAGCATTACATTCTTGTACATTCGGACCCTCACCGGTGTATGTCGACAGTCACAGATATGTTCTGGTGCAGGTCCAAAAGAGAGGTCATAAAGTGTCATATTAGTTTAAATTGTTGCAATAAATAAGATTTGAATCACATAATTGAGTAAGTTTTTTATTACTATTATTTTATTTTCTCATTTAGAACGTACTGTATAATTCAGTAAGTTTTTAACTTCTATAATTTTCCTTTCTCATTTTGAATGTACCGTGGATTTTAAGTTCTTATATTCTAAAGTTCTTATTTTAACTCTCAAGTACGTTTTTTCGCGACTGAATTACGGAGAAGAAAATATAATATTCTTATATGTTGAACATTCACCATTAGTACATGGTGATTGTCGACATTTACCGGTGTAAGTCGGAAATAAGAGTATTTGGAAAATATTTCGGACATACACCAAGCGGCTAGGTGATTGTTGACATTCACCGGTGAAAGTCGACATTTTCTAGATTTCGGTGTTTCACCGTAATATATACATGTATGCATACACATGCGCATACATTCATACATTTCTGAATCCGGTCCTGATAACAGATAATCCCAAATATTTATTAAAAAGTTTAGTTCCAAGACTAGGTTAAAATTATTATTTGTATGTTTATTGTGAGTTATGTTATAAACGTGAAACTTCAAAAAAAACGAATACTTTTGTAGATAGTGATTATGTGCTTATCTTTCTACGATAATATAATTCAAGAACTTTAAATTGTTTTATAAAATCGAACATGGGTTAATTTAGTGCGACGATTCTTAACTAAACAGATCACTTGGAAGTAAGATTAAAAATTTTTATTTTATCAGTTTTGCACGCGATTATTCAAAACTATATTTTTAAAAATACAACTGCACAAAATTTCATTGATATACATTTCACCTGGAAAAAATATATGTGATTGTGGTAACCTTGATTTACATAGTCGTATAAATATTTAATTGGCGTTGTTACACGTTGGAAAGATCTTGCAGACCTACGAGTTCTTTGCTTCATGTACATAAGCCTTTTCTTCCAACCGTCCTTTACTGAAGTCCTTTTGCCGCCCGCCCCGGAGATCAATTTCCGCCTACTTAGCAGATACTTACTAATTAATATGCCTGTCGTTAGGAAAAACAAGCTTGCGTTATAGTCATCTCCTACCATGTTATACCATGTCTGACGCATATATGAATAAATGCCAGGATTTTTTCCACTTACCTTTTCCGGCGTATCCAATTGCTCCAAAAGGACAGAAAGGAATGAGTCCACAGGCATGGCCCCTGTTTCATACTCGTTGCAATAGTACGCTAAGGTAATCCTTTGGCTCTCTGTGAGAAGTTTTCTTGCCTTTCGCTCAAGTCGATGTTCTGCGGTTTCGGAATTTGACGACTTTGTCTGTGGAAAAGGAATAAAACACTTCAAGTACTAAAAACTTCAAAAATTCATTTTTCAGTTTATTCCAGCTCATATAAAACAGTGGTAGGTTCACAATAATACGTGCTTTCATACGTACAATCATTACTTAAACTACGATGAGGTTCTTAATATTTATGCCATCTTTTAGATGAATATTCAAGTACACTGGTGAAATAAATTCAGAGAATTTGCATATTTTATCGACTTGCATGAAAAGAACTGAACTGAAGGAAAAACCACTGCTTCTAGATAAAAATGCAAATCTTGCACGGCAAATACGTAAGCGTAAACGTGTGTGTAGGCGGAGCCAGCAGAAAAACAGGCTTTATAAGCGCTTGGAGGGTAAGACGAATTGCGTTCGCTAGCATACCTCGGCAAATTTCTTGGTCTTATCTTGCAGCAATCGGTTAAATTCGCATCGGGAACAGTAGAAATGAGCAATCACCAACGTTTAGATTATGGAATGAGGTAGAGAGGCTGGAGGCCAGTCGCAAGTCCAGATATGCAGAGAGTTCAATTTAACGCTCAGCGTCGTGTGTAACCTATGGAAAATAGTTCCAGGATACTGGATCCATTGCGAAAAAGCCTGGGCAGGGTCGTCCAAGAGCCACGACGGTCAGAGCAGATCGCTATTTGTCCAGTTTAGTGAGGCGTAGAGGGGCTACAGCTTCTCAGCTCTCTCGGAACCCGTACGAAGCCACAGGAACCCGTGTAACAAGGTAATTGTTTCCAAAAGACTGTTGTTTGCCAGAAGACCAGCTGTTTGCGTCCCGCTGATGTCTACGGACAGGAGAGTCCGATTATCATGGCGAAGTCAGCATAGTGATTGGATTACGGAGCAATGACCGACTGTTCTGTTCACCGACGAGTCCCATTTTAGTCTGAACACCAATTATCGCCGTGCTTTCATATGGAGAGAACCAGGGACCCGCTATCTACTCTTCAATATCCGCGAAATAAAAAATTATGACGTTGGCGGTGCAATGGTCTGGGCAGGCATCATGTTGGATGACCGCACGCATCTCTACGTCTTTGACAGAGGCTCTGTGACTGGTGTGAGGTATAGGGATGAGGTCTTGGATTCCTATGCTCACTTTTCTAGGATGCAGTGGGCCCTAAGTTCATCTTACAAGACGATAACACGAGGCCACATAGAGCTCTTCTGATCGAAGAATTTCTCGAGAGTGAGGATACTCGCCGGATGGATTGGCCAGCCAGGTCTCCACACCTCAACCCTATACAGCATGTCTGGGATGCTCTGGGGAGGGCAACTGCAACTCGTAACCCCCCTCCGAGAACCATCCAGGAACTGAAAACAGTGTTGCTGAATGAGTGGGACCAGTTGCCACAGGCACTGATAAACTGCCTTATTTAAAGTATGACATCACGCTGCGAGGCCTGTATGGCTGTAAGAGAGGACCATACCCCCCATTAATCCATTTCTTTTGTGTCTTCTGCAACCGCTGTTTCAGACCTTCAGACTCCAAATGAGTGTTACACACGAACATGCGTGTCTATTATAACTGTTGAATGTTTATTTTGTTTGTATTATATCAACCTATGTTCTCACAAAATTTTATTAAAATCTGCCCAGTAGTTCTGGAAATCGTAGATCAAATATGACAATTCTCTGAATTTATTTCACCAGTGTATGTTACCTAGCGCAGTGATCACAAACTGAAATTGCATGCGATCTGAAGGCACGATCTAAAGTTGAGAAGACAATTTTTTTTAAACCAAAAAGAAGGTTTTTTTAATTAATAGCTACATTTTAAAATTTTATTTAATAAATATTTATCAAAACATACGTAAAAAGAAATAGTAATGACTCAAAGTAAAAAATTCTAATTTATATTTATTTTCTGTTTGAAACCTGAAGGCTGGTATCTGCAAGAAATTTCTGCTTGTTGCCCTTTTTTAATTCAAACATATTGCCATAAAATTTCAGACTGTCAGTTTATTTTAAATAATTCTAATATAATACGTTAACCATTAAATAATTTATTTAACGAAAAAAAATAAACAAATTGTCGAAACTTTCCAAATGGGACAAAACTGAAAAAAAAATAATGAGAATATATTCTTTTTCTTTTTTTTTTAACTTAAAATTCCTTTAACGCATATAGAAAAATACATATTTGTACAATTATAAATCTTTTCTTATTACAACTTACAGTTACAACAGTTCACAAAATGTTGAATTTGATAAAATTTTTAACCTTGGCGACTACAAACTACCTTCATCACGAATCGCAGACATCAGCGGGCAATCTGTTTTTTACTTAGACTCATTAATTTTCATCTGGAGGAAAAACTCTTCACTTATAAATGTACTCTCCAATAAAGCGATTATGTTTTTTGCTTGTTTGTTTGTTTTTTAATGGGCGGGCGCTTTATTTAATAGCCATTAGCTTTGAGAAACTACAAGGGCGAAAGTAGTGGCCATTTCATTATGGAAGCACTTAGCAGGTGGCCACCGTTGCCTCCTAGGAACGGGCAGCTACAACCATTCTTTTTTTGGAATTCGAACTTGGGCTCATCGCTAAGGCAGTCAGTGTCCCTAACCACTATACCGGCTCGGCGGCCTACATATGAGAAGTTGGCGGGACATTTGTCTGCATTATTATTCCAAAATTTATATATAACTACTCGACTGATATACTTATTAGTATGTAATTTACAGTTATAAGTCAATAAATGTAAATAAGTAAGCATTTCCATTGGTTTCACTGCGATATATGCATGAAATTTGCTCATAAATTTTCAATGTTTTCTCAGCCCCTGAATCTATGAGATCTTCCCAAGAAAGGAATTCATCTCCATTTGAGAATTCTTAATCTAATAAAACTTAAAATGTGAACAGGAGTCTTCAAAAGAGTAACACGCTTCGCTTGAATTATAATTTAAAATATGATTCATACTTGTAAAATAGCAGCATATATTGTAATCTGAAAACTGCAGATTGCAGTTTAACACATCGAACAATTTATCATTAAATTTTTCTTAAAAATTCAAAAAAATTAAAAATATAAAGCTTATAAGATTGAAAAGAAATTACAAGCTGTTCACGGTACGTACATTTCAGTTTAACACCTGAAATGATTTTAAAAAGTTACCGTCGATCAACTAATTTAGAATTCATTCGGTATTAACACAACCAACTTGGTATAAGTCGTCAAAGTTTCAGTATGTTTGAAATTCTGGTAACCATGCGCATAACCATTCTTCCGGCAATTACGCTCCTTCAGTCAAGTAATGCCGCCATTTTTGTATGCATTTGCTGTTGTTGTAGTTGTACTCCAAGTTCAAACGGTTTTTACAAGCAAATCGTCTTGCTTTAAACGTATTTTGAAACATGAGATTGTAGAATTTAACAATGGAAGAAACTGTGGTAAAATTTCTGCAGGAATAAAACGTTTTCCGGAAAGTTTCCTAATTTCGCACAACGAGGATTTCTTTGAACAACGAAGAAATGCGTTTTCTAGATAGCCGCTGCTTCCGAGGTTTGCAAGAAGTCTTGTCTGCGCAATTCTCTGATTTTTTTAAAGCGAAAACAGATCTCTGTGTACTTCGAGAGACGAAACAGTGGAGGAAAATTCAAAAATATTTGAATAAGAATGCAAGCGTTTTTTTTTAATGTAGCACGTAATTTTTATTTAATAATTAAAATTTGTATTTTAAATTGCAAAAGTATGTTATCTTTTTATATGTTGATAATTTTTACCGACTTATTATAAATATCGATAGTTTGGGAATCTTTCTAAAAAATGGGCGGGAGAGCCAGCAACTTGCAGACGATAAGTAACTTCTACCTTTTCATCTGTAAAACATCACCGAATTGCATTAAGATGGCTGTCTTAAAACATAAGGACCGAATTCGCCTTTTAGAAATTAAAGAAAGAGAACATAAAATCTTACATTAAAAATAAGCTGTTCAAAATGGCGAAACCAAAGGTGTGAGAAAGTTTTGCTATTATTCCATAGTAAATTCAGGTGGAAACTATAGTGTATTTATTTAATAAAGCAAAGATTTAGTTCTTCAAGACATATCTATGCAAAAAATTTACTGGCTCGCACATTAAGCTGGGAATGAAAACCAAATGGTTAAGAATAAAGTTATTTATCAATATTTTCTTTACCATAATGCAATACAATTATACATGGGCTATAATTTAATTAATTCCAAATTTCAAAAACAAATGACTTAGAAACTATGGAAACACATTGGTTCACAATAAATAAATAAGTTAATCTTAAAATTTTCTGCTTGAGAAATATTTTTAATTAAGGATTATGTTTTTAAATTGCGAAATGTCTGTTCTTTAAAGACTGAATTTTTCACTTCAAGAAAATTTTACTTACTTCTTCTGCTTTATGATCTCGTTTCCTCGGACTTCCTTTCCTAGATAATCTGAAAAGTATGGAAAAGAAATTCGTTAGGCAAGCATAAAATAATTCGGAAATAATCTGTGAATATATGGAGCGAATGATCTCTCATTACAAATATTTCCGGTTCTTTTCTAATTTAATTTCTTCGTTCGCAACTTAAAGAAATTTATTCATTATTTGGTATACATTTCTTCTTTCTTATTAATCGCAGCTTATCTGTTTAAATCCTTAAATCAAAGAATTTTATCGCATAGATGACCTTTTATTTTTGAAATGCTACTTTTTATGTCACAAATATAAGTTCCACTAAATTCCTCTCTTCAAAAAGCTTAACGATATGTGTTTTCAGTATATTTGTTGTTCCAAAAGTTTCTACAAACAAGAAAAGGTCATTTGGAATGTTTAAAATTAAACCATAATGATGCAGGAACTATATATAGATAGTTCCTGCATAAATTCGTTTTGTCTGTAACATAAAACAGTTGAACCATTGTTTGGTTGATCTTTACATTATGGTAACTTGGCGTTTTTTGGCGAACATTTGGCGACCAACTCTCCTACAGCAACCCTCTATTTTTTTTTCCCGCCGCCATTTTGTCTTCACGAAGTAAAGACATGTTTCTTTTCTTTTATCTACTGAACACTTCTTCCAACAATCTACTAGCCGAATTACACTTATGCTAAATTTTATCTAACAAAACTGCTTAATCATGACAAATATTCACTGCAAAATTGGGAAAAAGTGCACAATACCATACTCCTTACGCGTTTTTTCAAATAACACATACACATAAACCATGTACACGCCGACTTATTTTTACTTAAAAAAACATCCCAGAATTCCACAAAATGGCATTGCGCACACTCTTCACTATATCCATGTACACCTGCTTTTTTCTCATAAATTAGAAAAATTTCACGAAAATACATGACAATTTTCTCAATCTTTAAACCCGGTAAAAAGAACATATATGAAATTACCTGATCGCGAAAAAGTAATGAACATTTCCACATATAAAATAAATAAAATATCCAAAAACTTTTACCTCTAAATCATCTATTACATTATACACGTCACCAACGAATTCATACCGCAACCATTACAAATACTTATTGTCAATATTTAAATTATTTCCATGCACGTTTACTTCAACTAAACGTATATCAAATTCCTACAACATAAAATTCACAAAATAAATATCATTTAATTAAAATATAATTAAATTCAAAAACACTACTTAAAATATAAATGAGCACATACATTAAATTAATACATACATAAATACCCATTTCGAATTCACTTTAGTTACGGCCATGGATCCAAAAATTCACGAACACTGTTTCACACTACACAGAATAAGCCAAATACAAAATTTCCAGATTTTTTCCCGATTTCCCCCCTTTTTCGATTAAAGAACCGTAATTCGTCCATTAATATCACATGACATATCCCATGATCTCTCATTTCCCTCACACAAAATAATGCGTAATCGGAACTGAGTACTGCTCACATTATTACCAAAGTGCCAGGTAGTAACCTTTATCGCCTCCAAAATGTCGCCAAACTACCAGTTACCATATTGTAAAGATCAACCCATTGTTTTTCTTGGATAATTTTCTATACATAACTCAACGATTCTAGACGACACAGAAATTGCGCGAAAGAGAGAATTGCACACATAGAAATTTGCGTAGAAAATGCACAACATAACAGCAAAAAGCTTGGAGGAGAACATATGATGAAATTATGAAAATTACTCCTAAGTTTAACTAATAGTGGATTTTGAGCTAAACGCTATTCTATCCATAGTAGCTGTTATTACAATTTTTGCTCAAAACACAGAAAGTTAACAAAATTTAAAAGACATGCTTCATACTTTCAAAATAAGACTTTAAAACTTTTGATGATGACCAACGAGCATTCCAGTTACGCAGTGGGCTCAAAAGAGTAGGACTCGCATTACAAATCTGCGATTAATAAGATATCGCGCGTATATTTGGAGAGAAAGAATTGCATATCTCGCAACCGAAGGGTTAACCTTAATTGTGGAGTATTCGCCGCTTCGGTGCTGTATCACTACATTTACTTAATGTAAATAAATAGATGTGCTGAGTTCATGTTGTGTAATTTCATTTGTAAACCACAATTGGATGGCTAAATAAATTTTATCATACCAAAGAGGGAATTTACCGAGAAGGACTATTGATTTCGTTTTGGCATTTTGCGTCGATTCACGATAAGCGTTCTTTCACTTTTCAAATTGTTGCCACCAAATATTATCGCCCTGTATTATATTTAAAGAAATTAAATAATGAAGAATCTGCATGTATATTTGTATGTATGTATGTTTCTCGCATTGCAATAAAACAACAGTACTTAGAGTCATCAAAACTTGAATAACGTAATCTTCCATAGAATATGGGCATGGAAGCCCTAATTTGAATTTGAAATTTGTTTTATTATCGATTTCATATTTTGTAACACTTCAACGAATTTTTGATTAACAAACTCAACGATTTCAAAGCGAGGAATGGCAACACCGTACGGAAAAAAGAAAACATTTTTATCTCCATTACGCAGGACTCTGTATCGGAAATTCTAAAGATAGGCTCATTTTAAAATTATTTTGCGATATTGCTATTGAACGGAATTTTATGGTTTAAGTGCAAAGAACATGATATTTAATAAATAAAGGTAACACACAAAATGTTAAAAGAAACGCCTCTTTGGACGTTATTTAAAATCTGAAACCTTACAGACTTTATTTTTATTTGGATTTAAATTTCATATATGTTTCATGTGAAAATTATTTAATTGTATAGAACGATAACTCGCCAACAGGTTTTCTCTGTGTGATAGTAGGTATGTTGAAAATGTTTAGAATTATGTTGAAATTTCACGCCACAGAGTTATAAAGTGATATACAGCATACTAGCAAATAATGTTCTTTGCACGAATTTTAAGTTTCACCGCAGATCGGGTAGAGTTTTGACATACATAATTAGTTTAAGATATTACAATGGACCAGTATGGAAACAAGGAAATTACTGTATTATTTCTAGGCTAACATATAAAGCTGTAAAAGAAAAATAAGATTTAGAAAGAAAAGGAAATGAAAATGTGTTACTCCTTTTTGAAAACAGATTAAACCAAAGAGACAAGGCATATATGTTTTAAAACAGTTATCTACGAAGCTAAAGATCGAATTTACCATTAATAACTTCTTTCATTTTCGTACTGAATCACGTAATCGTTTAATTAAATAAAAAGACTTTTACTTTAATGATAAAAAATACTACATTCAATCTTTCTACATTGTACCAAGAAATGTTTCATTACACAAAATCACTCTATTCCTTTTGCAATAAAATACCAGAGACTTCACGTATCAATATTTCTGATTTCTATTCGGCTCCTATTGGATCTTTTGAAGTTATCTAACTCCCAAAGGATCTTGAGTTTTACTTGATTGCGAAATATAGAAAATTTCACTGAAAACTCAGACACAGGATGAAAAGCATTTTTTGCTTTTCACAAAAGTTTTTCTTTTTTTATTAAGGTATAAATGATATTAAGATACAAAATAAAAATACAGTTTTTCTAATGATACAAATGCCTTATTTTTATGTGTGCCCTTTTCATAAATTATCTTTCCGATTACTAGAACAACTACATGACAAAGATTTGATTGAAGATGAGTAGTAACTGCTAACTCATTGGTTGTCTTTTAATGCCACTATTTTAATCCCTTTAAAAAATTTAAAAATAGTTAGATATGCTTCAGTGTAAATCTAAGTATCAGGAATTTTCGTATTTCTTCAACAAAAAATGTATGCAGTTACTGTTCTCAATTATTATTATCTAATTAATATAATTTTTCCACTGCCTTACTATCAGATTTCTTTCATCAGTAGCATTCATTTACTGCCTGACGGTAGTAAATAGTTATAAATTTACCAGATCTAAGCTGATTAAATATACTAAATACAAAATTATTTCAACATCTAGAATGGTGCCTGAATTACAACTTAGAGGACTATAATTTGTCTACACTTTAATTTGGTCGATTAAATCTCGTATCTCAAAACCCAATACCTCGTACTCAGTCATCCTTTAAGCTGGCACTCATTTGGCAAATTAGAAATTCCATTGTTCGATTCTTGGCGAGAGCTCAGTTATTTTATCACATTTTCGGCTTCTATGAACCTAATGGTGTCTGCATGTTCATAGAACAGATTTTTCACTTACTTTCTATTGGTTTCCAAATAACTTAATAGCTTTCAGCAAATGGTGTCGATTTAAACTATTTCTTTGTTGCTTTGCTTCTATTGTGAATCAGTAAGAACTTCAGCAGCTGTAAATCACGAATTATAATTCTAGTTAGACCTGATTGAGATATTGGAAAATTTACGTATTTAACAAGACAGAATTCAACCAACTTGTCACTCGAGTGGTGTTGGAAATGATAAAATTCGTAGATGGATTAACAAATGGATTAGCAAAGCTTCATAATCCGCTCAGGAAGCAATATTATTTCCGCAAAATTCTATCTTCTCCAGCTCTCCTCTTCATATGTGGACATTCTACGCTGTCACGTGACCTATCATATCCGGAGAAGGTATTAAGGTGGGAGGAAGTAGAAAGGGATTACAGGGCATAAAAATAACTTACTCGGGTCGATTTTCTGTGTACCAGGCCGAGGAGGAAGCTGCCGTCTCATTGGGGGAGTAAGGGATCGTGGAGTGAGGCACCCTTCCCTCGCTTCTCACTACCATGGACATGTGGGGGGAGGACTGTAGAAGAGTCACTGCTTCGTCGTGAGTGATGTTGGTGAAGTCGATATCGTTGACCGAGATGATTTGGTCGCCAAACTGCAGAAAACAATAATTATAAAAATCATTTAAAGTATTATTACAGTTACAGGGAAATATACAATATGTATAAAAATAGGAAAATAAATAACAGCTTTCAGCAAATGGTGTCGATTTAAACTATTTCTTTGTTGCTTTGCTTCTATTGTGAATCAGTAAGAACTTCAACGAACAAGTTGATTTTCCCATAAAACAGCATTTCTACATCATGGTTATATAGATGGTTAAGTTATTGAATGTGCCAAAGCACACGAAGGCTCTCTGCCTAAGAGAAGTACGTCTTTGTGGAGGATTTCCTAGTAAAAACTGTGTCATATTCACATTACACATGGAGAGAGCTACGACTGCCAGCCCGTCCGCCTGTGTTCGAATGTGAGTCGTACTCGCAGTATTCATCGGTTTTAAGTGCCCAGCTACTGATAGGACGAGTTTCATAGACAAGCTACCATACTGAAAATTTATTTTAAAGTTAACTAGCTCTGACTAAAGGTCAGGGAAAAAACAATCATTCAGACATGAATCATATTATAACTCATAATGCACAAAATTTATATCAAAGAATAGAATTATCTAATCGTTGCCATATGTTCTATTCAATAAAGCTAAAATGATGTATAAAAGAAATTAAGCAATTAAAACAAAAAAGAAACGGTTTTTCACGGAAGATTGAGTATTTCCAGAAAAATTCCAGAAAGGATTAAGATGATTTAATTGGCAATAATAAATGAAGTCGTTATCTTTGTTGTTGCGAAGCTACTTCTCTAGATTGGCAACAAATCCACTAGTTGTGTTTCAAATGTAAACAATCAATGGCCGCCATAAAAAAGGCTTAGCGGCACGTAAGAACTTTAAAATTGTTGATAATTCTAAAAATATTTTCACACAGATTTACTAAAGGCATAAAACCCTTAACCGAAGATAAAAACAACATAATTTTAATCATTTTTAAAGCAAACATGTACAATTTACAAACATATAAGAGTAAAGAAACTGAGATCACTGAGCCGGGTAACAGAGTGGATATATATATAAATATATTTATGTACGTTTGGTGCGGCCGATTGCAACCAAAGTACAAGGTGCACATCTACATGTTATTTCAACTTTCCCGTTGAATAAAATCCCGTTGAAAAGGTGTTAAGCTCACTTTGTTAAATAAATTCGATTGAATCGATTTATTGAAACACGAAATTTATTTTAAAGTTCTTAAAATAGCTAAGTGCCTAAGTTTCATGACGATGTGAAACTGGAGTGTGTAGAGTAAAATCTCGTTTCCTATAGCCCATTATGTCTCAAAATGACGCGATTTCGTCACAAAACATAAAATAAAAAAAATTCTAATTCGAATTTGGAAAAAAATCGCTTCGAGGTGAACTGGCTCCTGTCTAGATGCACCTATGTACCAAATTTCGTAGCCGTGAGTCTATTAGCTTACGCGCAGCGCGAACGAAAGACACACACATACACATAGACAGACTCTTTCTTTTATTATATGTAGAGAGTATCGTTTTCTTCGCGCATTTCTTTACATTATATACAATTCAATTACAAAACCACAGAAATTTTAAAAGCAGTATACCAGTATACGTTTAGAATTCCCGATTTAATGTCAAGTATTGGTATATATTTTCCTGCTTTTTTTTCACTCTATCTCTCATTTCACCATATCAGTGTTCAATTTTCTTAATACGAATGATAGCTTGCAAAATCTCTGTCTTTTTATTATTAACGCTTTGTGTTAACTTTCTTTATTAAATATTATGTTCCTTGTATTTAAACCACATAACATTCAATTCAAGAGAAAAACCATACAATATTTAGAATATTAGAATATCTTTAGAATTTCCGACAGACAAACTCGTGCCCTTGAGATAAAAATATTTTATTCCGTACAGTGGTTCTATTGCTCGTTTCCAAATCATTGAGTTTGTTGATCTAAACTTAACTAAAGCTCTACAAAGTATGAAATATAAATTCAGAATTCAAAATTAGGCCTTCCACGTGCATATGTTCGGGTGGAGGACTACGCTATTCAGAATTTGATGGCTATAGGTACTGTCAATTTTTCACAATGAGAGGGACATACATACATATATGCAGATTCTTCATTATTTAATTTCTTTAAAAATATAGGACGATAATATTCGGTGGAAACAGTATGAAAAGTGATACAGCCGAATACAGTGGACGAAGCAAAATCCCGTTTCGTAGCCCATTCGGGCTAACTCTCTTGTGGGCTAAAATTTTATATGGTAGATTCTTTCTAATAATTTATATAAAATATAAGGAATTTTAATTTACTCGTTCTCTAAAATATGTTCATCTTTTTTAACTCTTAAAAATAAGTATATTTGTGAGTATTCATGAAAAATTTTGAAACAAAAATGAAATTTTATTATCTACACAATTTCTATAAAATACGTGCATTTAATCGGAATGAAAATTTGAAAAACGTGAAAACAAATAAAATTTTATTACTTACATGATAAATTTTGATAAAATATCGTTATCCTATATATCGATAAATATACAATAAATATTAATCACAAACATATAAACACCTTTTGGGAATACAAAACACAGCGTGCTAAGAAACGGTTCTGATCTAAAAACTATCAAGAAAGCGACTGTGCGTTTTCAAAAGTGCACAAACGCACAGTTGTTAATATGTGTATAACAATATATAACAAAATAATACATGTGTGTAATAATATATGTCAAAAATATATTCTCGGTAAAATACAATGCGCATCAAAATTGCACGTATGTGCATGTGAATTCATGTACGTGAATCACCGTTTATCTGGGAGTGGATTAACCTAGACCAGGGTTTCTTAAACTGTGGGTCGTGGTCCCCTAGGGGGTTGCGGGATCTTCAGCAAGGGGTCGCCAAAAATTTTAGCAGTTTTGATATTTCTTTAAATTTTTATAATAATTTTACAATTGCCAAATATTTTTACACAATGTATCTGAAAATTGAGACAAAGAAAAAAACGAAAACGTTTCGACGCGTTCTTTTTATAGTATAAACGCTCATTTTCGTTGTTTTGCACGTGACGCTGTCTTTTCGTCTGCTACTTATTTAAAATTTTCACACTGTTCTATGTCTTAAAATTAGAAATTAAACTGCAATAGTATATGTTATGCAATAGTATATGTTATTAATTGTAAATATTATGGGGTCCTGGGGGTCGCGAAAAAATCTCAGTGATAAAAAGGGATCGCGACTGAGAAAAGTTTAAGAAACCCTGACCTAGACCTTAAGTTTATTTACTGCGAAAAGATGGAAACCATCAAACTGTTACCAGTCCATTGGGAAATGCATCTAGTGTTTTCTAGAATTCATCATTGTTCAGGAAGACGTTTTCTCCTCCCAAAACACTAATTCTTCTGACGGTAATCTGCAGCCATATATTGCCGCAGCCAAATAATAGCTATTTCAACGCGTTAGTTCTTCCAGCAACAACTGCTGCATGAATTGTGTGAATGGGAGTTTCAAGGGGAGTTTGGGCACATCAGACCTACAGTCCAGACCTTGCCACCTGCGATAAAAATGCTTATACTATAATTAAATTAAATTGGAGTTGAAAGTCCATTAAACAGTGAAAATTTTTAACGGGCTGCAGCAGAAGCGTAGGGCAAGAGTATGCAAAAATTGCCCTAGTATTATAAAATGCCTCAGTGTTATGCATGTTCATGTGTAATAAGAGCTTGAGTTATGTATTTTAAAATAAAAGGATTTAGTTCAGCTAAACCTTTTAAAAATTACTAAACATGTATTACTTTGATGATCTAGTAATAAAATTACGGACGTTTTCCACCCAAGTCATCCCACAAGGACCTCATTTTAAATGATATTTTTTGAAATCCTCTTTTCTTCTTTGGAAAATTTCTAGAACGAGCAAGAGACATAAGCAATAAAATATAGGAAAGATTATAAAAAGATTCTAAATTAGTAACAAGTTATAAATTCTTACAGCCAAGCAAAGATTTGAGAATATAAGCTCTTTACCTTTCTGCATCTTAAAGAGATTAAGAACTGGTACTCTAAAGGTATTATTAAAAGAATGATGCAGGATTATTAAATATTCATCGAGCGAAAATAATCAGATTTGGTATTGCGTGACGTCATCAGCATGGGTTCGTTTCCAGCTAATAAGTTAAATTGATTGCTTTTAAAAATGTCGCTTTTAGAAAAATTTCTGCAGCTGACAAGGTACTCTTTAGCCATAAATAACCAAAGGAGGTTTTGTTTAAATTCATTACGCTTTTTTTTCTGTACTGGGTAAATTAGTTTCGAGCTAAATGGAGCGTTTTCTAAACTCAGATTTTTGTAATGGTAGATATAAGGCTTTTGTGTTCCACCAAAAACCAGGTAATATCCCTTTAAGTACTGGAAAATGTGCCTGAAAATATGCAGCAAAGCATGTAATTGAATTTTAATATGTAAAAATAGGAATTGTAGTTAACTTAGAGAAAGAAGGGAAAGTTACTTAAATTTAATACACTTATGAAAACTGCGCCAACGGTAATTATTATAATAAAATAATTAATTTTCATTATGAGTACTGCTTGTTACAGTAGTATTTTTTAATAGTTACAGTTTAATAGTTTGTCCACATATCATTTATTTGCATAGTTACCATATATCCGCATTTGCTGCAAAGAGTTATTTTATTAAATATTTGATCGTATTCACGTAGTATTTTGGTAAAAATAAAGAAAGTACGTAGAAAGTACTGCGGTTATAATAATGATGATGGATAAATTAAACAGTGCTAATCTTTTAACTATGCCTATAAAACCTATATCCATATTAAATGGAATATGCAGGGCATTTGAGAAAGAATAGTATATATTTCATGAGGTCTCTGAAATACGTATTTCTTGACATAGATTGAAAGTGTGTTTATTTAGGTTTTTCAGGTTATGCTTTTGGGAAGAGGACTTAAATGTTATTTCAATAAATTAAGTTTATTATCGCCCAAATGGAGAACATG